ACAGGTGTGGGCCGAATTAAATCCTTCAATTAACCATCAATCCCCTAACCCAAAAGTTGAAAAATTAGGGCTGACATCAGCCTCCATCAAACCACAGATTTGGTCCAAACTTGGACCAATCTGGTTCGAATGGGTCTAGGGTTTGATTTTTAATTAAAGATTTAATTCAAGAAAACGATCTGAAATTAATTACTGATTAAAGAACAAGCAAGAATCAGTCATAGGGCTATTCGCACACCTCCATCCTGCAAAACAAAAGTCATAACACAATTTGCAGTTTTAGAAACTGCAAATCGTAGATAGCGATTTTGTTATCTACGAAATCTCCTTCTGCGCCACCATCTTCGATCAAGAAAATAAAATAAATAGAAAACCTAATTTCTATTAATATTACATCTGATCGAATCCAATACATTCAGTTTAGAAAATAAAAAAAAAAATTATTTACAGACCAAAATGTAAAAAGAAAAACTACAAATCGCAGGTTCACTACGCCAATCAAGATTTCGATCTCCAGTTGTACGAACAGCCCATAAATAAAGAAAATAATAAAGAACAGTTCTAAATAAATTCCAGATTTATAAAAATTAATTTCAGATCATTTGCCCTTTAACTGGGAACCAAATTCCCAGAAAAAAACACTAATCTGCGCAAATCGAGTAGAACGCCTTCTACCCATTTGCGCAGGTTCAGATCTGTTTTAATTTGGTTCAAGATTTGAACCATGGCTCTGATACCACTGAAAGAATGAGAGATCCATCATATGGATGGCCGAACCCTACTGGAAGGTAGGGCGAAATTTCAAAAATTTCTCTCTCCCATGTGGGAATCGCATTCCTTGTTTTAGAAAAACTGCATTTTTCAATGATCAATCTTGAACCAAGAACCGAACCAAATCTGAACCAAAACAGGAGAGGGATATACCTGATACGAAGATGCAATATCTCCCAAYGAAGGTGTTCACACCCAAAGAAAGACTCCAAAAACAGCTCCTACTGAAGATGACACAATGAATGGTGGAGTAGAATCAGCAGGGTCCGTCCAACGAACCGAATTCTTCAGCAAGAATTCAATGGAGGCAGTGAGCACGACTTCTGATCAGCCTTTCTGCAAAGACTGATATCAAGACACCTCTTGATCGCTCCTACAATGGAGATCGAACTCGCAGTGTGGCGGCAACTGGAGGAGAACGTAGGGAGAAGAAGGCGCAATCACACTGGTGTTGTCTTCTCTCTGTGCAAACTAAGATTTGATCTCTGGAATTTAAGGGTATTACACAGATACACACCACTATAACATGAATCAAATATGTACTTTATTCATTTACAATAAATGTCATAAGTACATCAATCTGATTGGAGCTAAGGGCATACACTGTCTAACAACAGTTTCAAATGAATGCCTTGTGAAGAAAAGTAGAAGAAGTTGAAAAGTTTTAGCAGTAGAGAATAAGAGAGGAGAAGAAAAGATAGTGGGATGTCGCCATAATTGAATAGATCTGGCCGCCAACCCCTCTTGGGCGGCTACTTTAAGTAGTTGAATAGTCACAACTTAAAATAGCATAAACAAATGGGCCTAAGGCCCAATAACTTCCTAACTTAAAATCGGCCCAACTCAACAACAAATAACATTTTTTTTCCAGCGTTAACCTTCGGCTTCATATCGGCAATGGCATAGTGATCAACCTGTGGCTTGATATATTGAACCCATCTTCTGCTCTCCTCACTGCTCACCATAGAATACGCTTGAGACAAAGCCACCTCATCCTTTGCGAAAATATTTTGCCACACAATATCATACTCTGAGTTGAGTCCGATGAGGAATTCAAACACCCAATTTCTCTGCACCTATATGTTTCTGCGTGCAACCCCAAACAACAATCTCCAACATATCAATCTCTTGCCAAAGAGATTTCAGCATAGAGAAGTAGATGGCTAAGGGCTTCTCCCCCTGTCCTAGATTATTCACATCATGCTTCAATTTGTAGGCGCAATCAACATTAAGCTTTTGGGAATAGGTCTCTGTGACACTATTCTGCACTTCTTTTGCAATTTCTATCCACAGGTAAAGCTAACTAATGTGTGGTTGCATAGAATTCATTAACCAACCCACTATTGTGTAGTTTTCTTTCATCCACCTTTCATAGGTAGGATCATCCTCATTCAGTTTCTTTTGGCTCCCGGTAATGTAACCCCACTTTCCTCTACTACACACGTACCTTAATAGATTGAGATCGGGATAAATAATTGGTCCTATCTGACTCCACAGTAGTCATAGCCCCAAAAAGATTCTCCATTGACCCCCTATGTCCAAACCCAAAATCTGTGGAATATTTGGTCTCTCCTTCAAATTTCTCCATTGAATGAACGGGTGCAAACAAAAACCAAATTGGGGTTTTACTAGACTAGATTTAATGTTCTAAGCAAAGAACAACCCTTAAAACTCCCAAAAATAGGGTTTCACAGGACCTRACAGGACAAGGAGAAAGAGAGAAACTTCAACTACTCCTACTAGAGGTTCCAAAACTCAGTCCAAACAAAACYGTCCTCAATAGAAATCAAAAGGCTTACCTCTGATCCACAAGCGCTTGGTACAAACTATCTCTATGACATGTAACAAGATTTCTTCGGTTATCTAGGGTTTTCGAGAAAAAAAAAATCTCCAAGAACCTGCCTTGGGCTTCAACTAAGATGGAAACCTTCACAAGAACTCTCCGAAAACCCTCCTAACTGGGCTGCAAAAGTTGTTGATTGATCAACTGATCAGTTCTCCATACACACTATGTATGGGCAAAGAAATGAGAAAGAAGTTGAAAGTGAGAACCCGCTCTAATACCAAGTTGAGAAATACACCTGCAGTAATTCAGAAAATATAGAAAAGGGAAGAAAGAAAGGAAGAGAAAGGAGAGGAAAGAGGTTTCAGCATTAGGTTGTGGAAGAAGAAAAGAGAAGGGAAGAGAAAAAAGAAGAGTCTAAACCTGTCTCTCTAGCTCCCTTGATCTCTTTTATTGACTTAATTCTAAAATCATGTACAATTACCTGGATGCCCTTAATGGGAAGGCCAACACTAAAGAAATAATTAAAGAAACCAAAAATGCCCATAACCAACAAACATAACCTTAAACACTACTTAAAAGAAATAAAAAACACTAAGGCCTATTCAGCCCATTCTCACTACAGATTACTACCGTCAAACTTGATGGAACATATTTCCTTGAATGGTCCCAATCAGCTAAGGTTCAATTGGTGGGAGAGTTAAGCTTGGGTTTATTACTGGTAAGGAAGCTAATCAAAAACCTGAAGATTCAAACCATTCCAAAYTGGAACAGGATAATTTGTTGGTCATGTCATGGCTTGTATGCTCTATGCAACCACACATTGCCCGCAACTATATGTTCCTTTGAAAAACCAAGGATATTTGGGACTGGTTAACTACCACTTATTCTCAAGCTACAAACCAAGGATAACTATATGTTCCTTTCAAAAACCAAGGATATTTGGGACTGGTTAACTATATGTTCCTTTCAAAAACCAATGATAGATCCCTGTTATCATCCCTTTACTATCATGTGTCATGTAAGTGATCACATGCCTTTCCTTTCCCTGATATAGAAGTAAGACTTTGGACCACCAGTTGAAATTTGGGCAAAACTAGTTCACCAGAAAGAAAAAAGCCTGGTTCAAAAACCCCTTTATCTAATCCTGCCTCTTGGGCTTCCTTTTATTGGATGCAAGGGGGGGGGGGGGCTGACAGGACCTCTATGTATGATTTAAAAAAGACCATTGGACGAGGATCCAATAGATGTAGACTAGGTAGGATGCTTAGATGACATGAGGTTTACATCAGGATTCTGCACCTTTGTTGGGGGTAACATGGTTTCATGGAAAAGTATAAAGCAATTCATAGTGGCTAGGTCAAGTGTAGAAGAAGAATACAAATCTATGATACATGGTGTCTGAGGACTGCTTTGGATTCTGTCCTTGTTGGGTGAGATGGGTGTTGTTGAAGAGGAACCTATGATGTTGTATTGTGAGATGTTGTCTGCCCTATATTTCATCTGACTTGGAAGGTGTTTATCAAGGGAGTTATAAAAAGCAAGCTTGAGCATGACCTACACAAGTTGGGCATGTTGACAATCTGTTGTATTTTATTTCTTGTTAATTATTTGATGTTATTGGGCCCAACTACCCAAGCCCATTAGTAGTTCCTTTTTAAGTTGCTGTTTTATGTCTTTTTAGAGTATTGACAGTAGCTACCCTATTAATGGTATAGTTGACTTTGTACACACTTTGTTTCTTAAGAATAAAAGTTAATCAGAGAGACAACCAGCAGTCTATTGGCTTCTCTTCCCTTTCTTTCAATAATACAAGTGAACTGTGTAATCCTGCCTGCTGTTTTAAAATCATGGCTTAGAGGTTTATACACTATTCTAAAAACATTTTCCTCTTCTAAAATGGAAACAGGATAAATAATTCTCTTTAAGAACTATCAACATCAGGATTAAGACAAAATGAACTTCTAATGGACTAAAGCACTAATTGATTAAGACATTTAAATATTTACAAATAAGTGACTTAGGAGAAACAACGGTGACTTGGCAAGACACATTTTAATGAAAACTAGAAAAAAGTTGGTTTAACTGGTTGACTTTCCAGGTTTAGTGTAATTGTCTTATGTTGCCAGCCTGAGAAATGATCCAATTTGATAACTCAAACTAAATTTCATTTCAAACATGAAAAGGTCCTCCTGACATGTCTCCAAAAAATAGTTACCCTCGTTATGTACGTCACATACTTGTAGCAGTCACTAAGTTGGAAGAAACAAGTAATGCCATAATGGTACCTATAGCAAGATAAGAGAACTAGAAACTAAAGCATAATATGTAGACCAATAATAACAGAAGAGAAATAAGTAGAAATGCAAATATGTAAAGAAAAGTAATATGACAATTAAATCGATTCATATCTGAAACAAATATGAGTTAAACTAGATAAGAATACCTGTTTGTCAAAAGCTCCTCTCGAGTTGCCAGAGATCCAAAAAAGAACACAGAAATCACATATAGAGTAGAGGTTAAAAGAGTTGCAGCTAGTGTTCCAATGGGTATTGAACGTTGAGTGTCTTTTAATGATGCAGAGCGATTTGAACCTGCCATAATTCCCGTTACGGCTGGGAAAAAAAGGCCAACCAATGCACTGAGACCAAGGAACCATCTGATTGTTAGGAAAAACTCAAGAAAACAAATCCACCTGAAACTCATCTATAAAATGGTAGTTTTACATATTTCAGAAATTCAATAGATCACATTGATCAGAGAATTTATCCAGGTAGTCATTAACTCAGACTGAAATAATTAACCAACAATGGACATGAGAAAAAAGAAAGAGAAACATCAAGAAGAAAAAGGCTTTAAGAATGTTCCAAGAGGACTTCATGTTAACCTTGCAAAATTTCAAAGTAAAATAGGAACAGGAAAAAAACTGTACTCCCTTCCCAAAAAATTCTGAGGGTTTGTTAATACATACAAAATGAGAGAGAGAGAGAGAGAATGTATCCATAGGGTAAGGCTGTGTACATCTGTCCCTCCCCAGACCCCGCATTGGTGGGAACCTCATGCACTGGGCTGCCCACTATTTTCTATAAGATTAACTGGGGTGTAGTGACACATAGTTGTTCAGTTACTTGATATTGTGATGTTTGAACACCTCTCATTTTGTGTTGAGTAGGGACATTGTTCTTGTTGGAGTCGACAGTGCAAGGGTATTTTGGTCATTTGACTATCTAGTTSAGAGTGAATAGTTTGTTTTATTTAAGTTTAAGTTATATGTCCCATACTTAAAAAGGGACAATATTGTCTTTTGTAATTCAGCTTATACAATATAAATACAAAGTGGGTCGGCTAGGGGAGGTGACTTTCTCTCCTAGACCGAACCCTTCTCTTTCTCTTCTTCTTCTTCTTCTTACATACTTTGAACCTAGAACTGAATAGGATTAATCAACTTATTTACATGGTACCAGAGCAATAAGAAATCGGTTCGATTTCTTTTCTCTTATCTCATCGCTCTTTGTCTTCCTGGGGTCACTGCCATATCAGACTTTTTTTTGAAAAACTTACATTGGATGTTCGGTAAGGGGCCAAAAAGGAGTGGTTGTCTTTTGTTCTTGGAGGTAAATATGCTTCCAGTTGCTGTGGTGGTTGATCATTATGGTGGTGTACTGAATACCCTCTACTCGATGGTACGAAGAGGGCTGACTGTGAACAGGTGTGAACAGAAATTCCAATTCGGCTAATAGTGGACTGCGGATGCTCCTTTTTGGTCTGAATTTTATCTCTGTGGCAGTGTGGATTGGTAGGTATGCATATGAATCTCCTTTTCTTCTGTTTATACCTGGTTATATGAGTTGAAAGTAGGGTTTTCGAATGCTGAATTCATGACAGCAGCAGTGTGGTCATAATTACATTATGCTGTGTAGTGTGTGGTGTGGTGCTGAATAGTAGAGGGTGATTACTTCGTTTATAATAGTGATTTCTTTGTGAAGTGAGGTGAATCAAATAGGATGGCTTCAACTGGAGATGGTAGTGAGAACTATTAAGTTAAATGGTGAGAACTATGTGCCATGGACCAAATCTGTGGAGGCATTTTTAAGAGCCAAGAAAAAGGTGAAACATGTGAGAGAGGAGAAACCCCCCTCTGATTCTCTAGGATTTAGTGATTGGGAGCAAGAGGAAGCACAGATTATGACCTGGTTGTGGAATTGCATGGAACCTAAAATTAGTGTGAATTTTATGTTCCAAGATACGGCTAAGGAAATCCGGGACCATGCTAAGAAACTTATTCTGGCCAAGATAATACCACTAGAGTATATCAACTTTACCAAGAGTACTTAATCTGAAGTAGGGTAACCAAAGCTTGGAAGAATACTATGCAAGCATGAGAAATATCCGTAATGAGCTTAATGTATATCACCCTCYGACTCTAGATGTTCAAGTTCAACAACAACAACGAGAGCAACTTGATATGACAAGGTTTCTAGTGGGTCTAAAGGCTGAATACGAACCTACTCGAGCACAAATACTGGGGGGTCTGCTCTCCCCTCTCTTGAAGAAGTGTTTGCTTGTCTTCGGAGAAGTTCTATTGACTCTACAGAGTCTTCCTCTCTCTCGGACAGATTAGGTTTTGTGGTCACTAGAGGGGGAGGTCATGGAAATAGAGGTGGTGGAAGTGGTGGTCGTGGGTTTCTAGGAAACCGAGGTGGTCCTATGTTTAATCGTTCTAGTGTCCGTAGTGGAGGCCGAGTGTCAGGAAGAGGTCATCTTAGAGGAAGAAGTAATGGACCTAGAAAATGCACATACTTTGGATTAGAAGGGCATACTGTTAATTTCTGTTATGATTTACGTGGTCCGCCCAACACTTGGTCTAACCATGCTGTGACTAGTGGCAGTGGTACCACATGATCTGAGAAGTTCCTTCAGACATCCTCTTAGCAGCATACAACTACCCTTGCCCATTCAGGTATGGTTTGCTTGGCTTCCAAACCCTCACATTGGATCATTGACTCTGGAGCCTCAAATCATATGTCTGGGACTCCAAACATATTTTCTTCGTTTTCCCCATCTTCTTCATCCCAAACGGTTACTCTTGCTAATGGGTCTACTTCTCCCCTCTGTGGTGTTGGTGATGTTGATCTAACATCCTTATCCTTACCATTTGTTTTATATGTACCTAAGCTCCCATTTAATCTGATGTCTGTTAGTAGACCAACCAAGTAACTTAATTGTTCAATAACCTTTTATCCCTGTTCTTGTGTGTTTCAGGATCTTAAGATGGGGATGAAGATTAGTGGAGGGCATGAAGTAGTTGGATTATATTACCTTGATGAATGTGGCTCGCCAGTAGCTTTTTAGTCATCTCTTACTCCTCTCCAATGGCACTGCAGACTTGGTCATCCGTCTCTCAAGGCTCTAAATAAAGTGAGTCGTGTCAACTTGGGAAACACCACAAAGTCTCTTTTAGTCCAAGAGTTTATAGTCGTGTTTTGAGTCATTTTTCTTTAGTTCATTCAGATGTTTGGGGTCCAAATAAAGTGGTGTCGTACAATGGTTATAAGTTTTTTGTAATTTTTGTTGATTTTTCAAGGATGACATGGTTCTATCTTATGAAAGATCGAAGTGAATTATTCTCTATTTCCCAAAAAAATTATATTGAAATACGTACCAATTTGGAGTTCATATTAAAATTCTTCACTCCGATAATGCAAAAGAATACACCTTAACTCCATTTTGGGAATACTTGGAGCATCATGGGATAATTCATCAAACTTCTCGCTCGTAAACCCCACAACAGAATAGAGTGGCTGAACGGAAAAATCGACACTTACTTGAAACCGCTTGGTCCATTATGCTTGATATGAATGTCACAAAGCGTTTCTGGAGTGATGCTGTCTTGACATCATGTTTCCTCATCAATCAGATGCCCATGTCCATCCTTGGAAGTCAATCACCTTTTTCAGTCTTGCTTCCTACTCTTTCTCCGTTCCCTCTTACTCCTAGTCTTTGGTTGTGTTCCCTCTTACCCTTTTCTTTTTTCAAAAAGGGTATAAGTGTTATAACCGTAGCTCTCATCGGTCCTTTGTGTGCTCGGATGTCACTTTCTTTGAGTCATTTCCTTTTTTCTCTAGTACTAAGGTTACTTCTCCTACTCCTATGGTTCCACTTCCTGTTCCAATTGAGGACCCCCTTCCCGTGGTTTCTATTCCATCTTTACCTTCTCCAGTGCAGGCTAATACTGAGAGGCCACCAATAACACAAGTGTATACTCACAAAAGAGTATGGGCCCCTCCCCCAGTTCAGACCTCGTTGACAAATCCTGTGCTTGCACCTCCTCCTTCTGACCTTGATCTTCCTATTGCATTGTGGAACGGTAAACGTAGTTGCATATCCCATCCTATTTCTCATTATGTTTCTATTGCTCACTTTTTTGCTTCCCATCGCCACTTTATATCTTTACTATCCTCTGTTTCCACTCCTAAGACTGTACAAGAAGCCCTTACCTCTCCAGGGTGGTGACAAGCAATGGAAGAGGAATTGTCTGCTTTACAACACAATCACATGTGGGAACTTACTACTCTCCCTCCCGGTAAGCATGTTGTTGGGTGTAAGTGGGTCTACATGGTGAAGTATCTTCCAGATGGCAATGTGGAACGATTAAAGGCCAAGTTAGTGGCCAAGGGCTAATCCCAGTTATATGGTGTTGACTATATGGAGAAATTCTCTCCTATGGCTAATATTGGTTCAATTTGGGTAATAATTTCATTAGCCGCAATGTATGATTGGCCTCTCTTGCAACTAGACATCAAGAATGCCTTTTTGCATGGTGATCTGATTGATGAAGTATATATGAAGCAACCACCAGTTTGTTGCTCAGGGGGAGGATGGTAAAGTTCGTAGACTTAAGAAGGCAATCTATGGGCTGAAACAATCTCCACGTGCATGGTTTGGTAGATACAATGAAGTAGTGAAGAACTTTGGCATGAAACAGTGTCAAGTAGATCATTCTGTGTTCAGTTGTGACTCAAAAGATGGGAAAATCTTGCTAGTGGTGTATGTGGATGATATTGTTATAATTGGCAGTGACAACAATGGGATTGACAGATTGAAAAACTTCCTACAAGATCACTTTGACACGAAGGATCTTGGTAAGCTGAAATACTTCATGGGAATAGAAGTTGCAAGGTCAAGGCATGGAATTAACTTGTGTCAAAGGAAATATGTCCTTGACTTGCTTGAAGAGTATTGATGCAGGTGAAGTGTTTGTGATCCTGGAAGGTATAAGAGGTTGGTGGGAAAATTGAACAATCTGACTATCACACGGCTAGATATATCATTTGCTGTAAGTATGGTGAGTCAATTTATGCAACATCCTCGAGTTGCAAGGTCAAGGCATGGAATTATCTTAATGTTGCTGATCTATAATGTTGTGTTGGAACTAGTGCTCCTAACTTAAATAAGGGCACATATACCTTTTCAATCATTTTTAAAAATATAAGTTCTGTCTGGCCGACTGGGAGAAGGTTATGTTGAGACTTCCAGTTCGAACCAGCTTTTCCCCTTCTCTCTTTCTCTCTTTCTTCCACCTTTYTACCTCTTTCTACCTAACCGATCTCAGACAGATAGAATTCTAAGGCAGGCCGAATC